CAAAGACGTACAGTATGTTTTAGGTGACTTGTTATGGAGTCCTACAAATGTCTTGACACTCACATGAACACCTCTTCCTCAATAATTTTTGAAACAAAAGTAAAAATTGTTTACATCCTGTTGAATTTACAAATAACTTCAAACTTTACAACAATAACTGTCAAAGAGAAGTATAAACACTGTCTGATTTAAGACAATAAAGGTCCTAAGATCATCAAACATTTCTGGTGGGGATTTTCTGCTGGTGAATTTAGCAACAAATTAATTGTTGACATTGATCTTTTCTCATAGTCTAAGGTCTCTAATTTCACCTAGAAACCAATCAATTTATAAGAAAGAATATTCAAAACCAGTCAGAATATGAGATTGAAGGATCAAATTGATAAAAATCTCTGTCCTAAGGGCATGGAGTGTCCTTTGTCTAGTTATGAAAAAGCAAGACCCTCTTGTTTGGTTTTATGTCTGGCCTGCTGCACAGTCTTCTGGATTATTCCTGTTCTGCCAACTGTATTCTACATAGCTGCCAACTCTTTTTTCCTTCACCAAACTTTCAGATGTGTGTATTTTTCTATGACTGGATTTAATAGTTCTCTCTATCTGGTGATATCACAAATCCTGTATACATCTTTTCTCCTTGTGCAAATCTTCAAATTTCTTCACATTCAGCCTATCAAAGTATGAGCCAACTGAGTTGTGAACTTTTATGCAAAAAACTAAATCTAACAGGTATTATAAGGATGGCTCTCTCTCTCAATAAACAGTTTTACCTTGTAAGAATGAGTTCTCTTTTGTCCTTTTACCATCTAATCAGGCGTTTTTAGTCAAATTATCAAAATTAAATATCTTTCACTCCAATATCAAGCTACAATATAGATCAGTAGTTCACAACCTTTCTCATGTCACAGACCACTAAAACCCCAAACCATGATTAACCATGGATCTTCAGAGAGTTCTGCAGACCATCGATTGAGAAATGTGGATGTAGATCATGTGACCTCACACTGATGTCTAAGCTATAAATCTTTGCATCCAATAGCATAGCTTCCAAGTTCCTCTGATGTAGTACATTATTTAGAATTTTAAAATATGGATTTTATTACAAAATTATTTTTGTCTCACAAAAGTAAAATTTCTTTACAAGTTTGTTTGTTTCAAAGCATATGTATTTATATTACAGGAAAATTGACTTTTGCAATAAAATGAGTATTGCTATAGCTTACTGTTCTAATGTTTGTGCTTACAAACATAAGCTGAAAATATAAAACTGTTAACTAGATTGATTGAGAACTAAAATAAATAAAAACCTTACTATTTCAGACTATTCAATCACTTGAAATTGTTCTTAATACTATATGAACTGGATATAAATCTTTGCAAAATTTAAAGATGTAAATTTTGCAATTAGAGATTATATTCTTAAAAGTACTTTTTATTTAATTTTATTATGCAAAATTCTCTTAATTAGCAAACAATTATTTTTCTATTAGAAAAAGGGAATTTATATTATTTATTATATATAATAATAATTTATATTTTGAATAATTTATGAGAATAATTTATATTTTGTATTTATTTATTGGTTTATTACTGTTTATTTGCTGGGATTTGATATTCATTAAAAGGCAACATGTATATAATAACTTTAGAAATGAAAAAGTGTACCTTAATTTAATTCTATAACTTTTCATATTTAAAAGATTGTGTAAGTGATTGCAATACTCAAAAAATATTTCCAGAAAATTCTCAGATAATCTACAAGATTATTATATAAATAAAGTATGAATTCTATTTGTGTTCATTCATTGTGAATTCACCTTATAAGTAGATAGAGTACTACAATAAAATTACTTAAAAAATTTGGCACTACTTGAATGGTTCTCATTGTGTCTCAAATTCCATTTGCTTTTTGAGAGAGATGGGAATCCATCTGACTTAAGTTTTCATACAGCTTGTGGAATATCTACCTTATTTCTGTCTAAGATGCACCAAAAAACTTCAAAAAATTTTGTTTATAAAAATGAAAATCACAAACTCAAGATGATGTTAACAATTGCTGATCCTTCTTTGAAATCAGCTATGCTATACTTGCCTTTCAAGGAATTTTAAAATAATTATAAGTAGTACCACTTGACTAATTCATATAGCCTGACTTGCATCTTGTCACAAAATATTTATTTATTCTTTATTACAGTAAAGTCCATCTGGGAAAGTTTGTTGCTGGATTTAAAGACTTGTTGCTGGATTTTTTTAATATGAAGTAATTATTAACAACAGGAGGATAACAATAATTGTNTCATGCCGTGTGGCGTAATTGTCTGCTGACCAATCAGTGGCTGTACTTTCAAAAAGCCAACGGCCACTTTCAACCATCTGTCGATGACCGTTACGACTAAAAATAAACTTCGCTAGGTCTTACTTTCAGAAGGAGGTCTTATATTTCGCAATTCAGCAAAATCTGTGCTAGGTCTTATTTTCTGCGGATGTCTTATTTTCGGGGAAACATCCCATCTAAGTTATAACACTTTCTGACGATTTACCAAACTTGTGTGAAATTTGACATTATCGTGGTAAAACACTACATCTGTTTTGTTGATCAATTCTGGCCTTTTATGTTTGATGATATTACTCAATTTGTTTACTTGATGGCTGTACACTTTCGAATCAATTGTTAAATTGTCTGGTAAAAGCTCCAAAAAAAATTTCCTTAAAATCCCACCAAAAAGAGCATCTCCTTAAGAACATGTAGAACCCATATATCGAGCTTTGAAATGAAACCAATTTGTTTCAAGTAATCATAAACGGTTCAATTTGACAAATTTAATCTCTTAGTGACTTCACATATTGTTATTCGGCAGTTTGCTTCAATCAGTACCTTTATTTTGTTTTCATTGGCTTCAACTGGCCATCCAGAACGTGGTGCATCTTCAATATTGAAATTTCCATAACAAAATTTTGGCATTTTTGGCATAACGAAATTTTGGTAAACCAGTTTTGGCACTGTCGTTCTGTCAATACATCTTCCCCATACATGTCACACAATTTTTTTTCTTCCTTGAACAGTATTCTTACCTTTTCGGTAATAAAAGAGCAAAATATGCTGAAAATGCTGCTTTCGATCTTCCATATTTGATGGGACACAAAAAATAAACAATTGCACAAAATCAAACAAAATTTTTTACAAATAAGCCTTAAAATGTTAGCTGTCAAAATATATAATGTTAATATGGTTTAAAATGAAAATGGCGGGAAAAATATGACTAATCCGTCTAGTGGTAAAAAAACGAATTTACTTTCCAAACAACCTAATATATTATTTCGTCAACATGCAGCCTGTAAACTTATTGTATTATCTATTTTTAAAGTTATCTATAATCCTATATTCTAGATGAAATTTTTAACGAAAATTTGTTTTTTGTTAAAAATTCATATATTTCCTAATTTAATAAATTCCATTATTTATTAAAGGTATTTATCCCTGATCTTCATTTTCATGAATATCAGGGGATAATGTGATCTTTCCACCACAGCAAACCTTTTTTGAAATGCTTCTTTCTCCCATTTCATAGAGTATCTACTAGCAAAGCATCTGAGAATGAAACTTATTTTCAGCACTTTTGGACTGAACTTGTTTTAGGAACAAGCTTTTCAACTAAATGTGTAACTCAATCAAAGTAAAGATATATAACAGAAAAATAAAATAGGATGTTTTAAAGCTTATTATTATGAACAATAATTGATAAAAATGTTCACTGAAACTCTTTTTATCTCATAAAAAGAGTTTCAGTGAACATATAAATCATCATGATGTTTTAGAAATATTTTGCTTATTTGAACTAGTTAATATAGTTCAAATAAATAAGAGTTTCAAAATTATTTAATTACTTAGTATTTTTACTGATAATTTATTGTTTTTACAAAGCAATAAATCATGAACTTTTCTACTTATAATGTTTACAAAATTTATGTTTTATAAACATTAACAATAAATTATTTAAAATTTATAAAATTGTAAAAATATAAAATATTTAAAACTTACAAGAAAATTAAATCTTACAATGAATAAATTCTAATTTTTTTTTAATAAAACCTAAATTCCACTTTAATATAAAAGGTGATAGAGAAATGGTAGTTAATTTAAATTTCTGTGGAATTTAAATTAACTATCATTTATCTATTATCTTTTCTCTTCACTTTTTATCACTGTTACATCTTCCTATCTTCAAATTCTATCAATGTTATCTGAAGAGGCTCCTAACAAAAAAATTGAAGTAAAGAGAGATGAAAGATATTTACAAGGTTGAAAGGATTTGGATATACAAAACATTTAAAAGAAAGAAGTCATTAATGGCTGCAATGCCCAGAAACTACTGATAGTATGCCAGTGACTTATAGGGAGAAAGAAGAAAGCTAAAAATTAACTGTATTTGATTTGATGCATTATATGGCAGAGATCTTAGGCCACAAGGGAGCCACATACAGCATTAGATATTGTCTGCTAACAGTGAGGTTAGTTCAAATAAAAGAATTTAAAGTTTATAAATTTAATTGGTTTGGGGATCTGCAATCCAATAAAGGATTTTAAGTGGGAATGGTCTTGTATGTTCTTTTTATTTAATTTCTGGTGTTTTCAACCAAGCTGTTTCTCTGATGATGGATTTTACAACCTTAAAGTAATTGGGATGATAAAAGTGTAAGATTGATGTTTATATTCTCCAATAAAGTAGATCGTTTTGATAAATAAAAACTAACTTTTATTTCATTGTGATCTAAATGCAGAAATTTAAAAAATTAATAAAAATTTCAACACTAAACAAATAAAGTATATAGTAAAGTAAAGAAAATACAGAAAAATATAATAGAACAACATGAACAATTATTATTTTTGATTTTAAATATAAATAGATACTTTGTATATTTTAAAATATTATCATTTATAAATTTATCTTATTATATATATAATAAAATGTGTTAAAATTCTATTTAATTTAAATAATGCTCACCTATACTACAATCATCTATATTTATTTCACAATTTAATCCAGTATATCCAGGTACACACAAACAAGAATATTGATTAATTCCATCAATACATGTACCATTATTCAAACAAAGTTCTTTAGAACAATCATCAATATTTATTTCACATTGCTTTCCTTGAAATCCAGTTGGACAATGACATATATAGTCATTTTCTATATTTATACATGTTCCCAAATTATTGCATGGTTTGATATCTTCACAAATATTAACAACTAAAAATAAAAATGATTAAAAATTTTGTATTTCCAATATATTTTATAAATTATATAAATTTAATTTCTTACAATAAATAAAATAAAATATTTACATTAATATATTATTGCATACATTCAATAATGATACATTACATTAGTAATTGAGATACAAAGATTCTGTGCTACAGTTAAAAATTCAATTACTAAGATTATGGATTAAAATATAAAAAGAAAGTTTTTATGGTTATACAATAATTTATATTACTTAATAATTATCTAGATAGTGTGATTTTGCTATTGAGTAAGCATTAACTTTAAAGGTTAATAGCTATTTGACAGATAATACATTTTAAATTTATTTTTAAAACTCAATCTACTTTATATATTTTACATGATTAAAGAGCAATGAAAAAAATTTTAATGGTAATAAAATTATGATAATTAATAAATTATTTTATTAAAACATATTAATATAAATGCTTAAAAATAAATTATTATTAAAATAAAAAAAACAATTTGATTCCATAATTGTAACAATGAAGCATTTCAATTAGAGAAAAATACATTAGAACATAAAAAACTAACTTGTAAGACAAAAATCATTTATGTGTATTGTTATTACTTTCCCAGCTTTGTTATATATAAAAGAGGTTAAAGTATATGGCAATTGGTCAAAAATTGACCTTTCAAGATTTTTACATTTTTGGACTCAGAACCTTGAAATGTCAAGAAATGAAAAAAATTTGGGGGATTTTTCTGTATGTATGGATATTAATGCATGTGTGTGTGGGGGTATGATTTTTTTCATCCTCTTTGAAGCTTAACTCCTGTGCTTTTTGTCAAAAATTAAAATAATTTCACAGAGAGGTTTGTGTATTAGTGAGATTAACCACCAAAATTTAATAGTGTCAAAGATCGAGGGGGTGAGGAGATAAAGGGGGTTGTGTGTCGTATCTCAAGTAGGGTTGGACAATTTTACTCATTATTAACATTTACAATTTTTTTTTTATAAAACACAACCCTATGCCCAAAATTAAGCCTTTTGCCATTTTATAATGTGGCATGATGCCATAGTTCATATATAGTTTGTAAGTTTATTTATATTTTTTTCTTATTTTCCTTTCAAATCTATCCATTTTCTTTTGTTCTTTGTTTCCCAACTTCAAGAACTTTCTACCCCTACCCCACTTCTGATGGTGTAGGCAATAAACAATAGAGAGGAGGAGGCCCTTAGGGCAAGTTCTACGTGGTTCAGATACCTTTTAGCTGAGACACTGAAGGAGAAGGATGTGTGAACAACGTGTTCCGGGTCATGAGAGCAGCATTGGGAGCTACTGTGTGAAACCACTGGTATATACAGTTAGCACATAAGGACAATGATGGACCAAGAGAGGCAAGACAGAGAATACTTGTCTGCAGATAATTAAGGTAGACCTTTGGTGGAAAGAAAAGCAGGAGAGATAGTAGTGGACTTTGAAAGAATTCTAAAACTCAACTTTGGACCTATTCATTGAGAGACATGTGGAGCAATAGATACTTCTTTCCTGAAAACTTATTTCTTCTTAGGAACTTCTCCTTCTCTAATTTCTCTATTTTAGGATTAAGTAGGTTAGGAATATAGGATTAAGATAGTTCTTAAGCATGATAGAAAATTATATGTGTATGTGATGCAAATCTAGTGTATGTGACCCTGTGTAGAAACTGAGTGAGTTCCTTTGTATGTAATTGTTGGTTATATCATATCACTGTATAAAAGTGTCTATGATAGGGAGACGCACTAGAGTTGGGACCTGGTTTTTATCTTATGTTCAAACATGAAAATAAAGTTTTGTTCTTTATATTATACTTTGTCTTTATTCTAGTCACTTTGAACATCACAATAATAATTAAAAATATAAAGAGTTTTTAATAATAAAATATCATAACAGATGGCACCACACAAACAGTTTTAAATGTTGCTGGGAAAGTTTGTTGCTGGATTTAAAGACTTGTTGCTGGATTTTTTTAATATGAAGTAATTATTAACAACAGGAGGATAACAATAATTGTAAACATGATAATTTTGTGTATTTTTACTTACTTGAGAACATCTAAAACTAGAATTTATATTACAAAGACGTACAGTATGTTTTAGGTGACTTGTTATGGAGTCCTACAAATGTCTTGACACTCACATGAACACCTCTTCCTCAATAATTTTTGAAACAAAAGTAAAAATTGTTTACATCCTGTTGAATTTACAAATAACTTCAAACTTTACAACAATAACTGTCAAAGAGAAGTATAAACACTGTCTGATTTAAGACAATAAAGGTCCTAAGATCATCAAACATTTCTGGTGGGGATTTTCTGCTGGTGAATTTAGCAACAAATTAATTGTTGACATTGATCTTTTCTCATAGTCTAAGGTCTCTAATTTCACCTAGAAACCAATCAATTTATAAGAAAGAATATTCAAAACCAGTCAGAATATGAGATTGAAGGATCAAATTGATAAAAATCTCTGTCCTAAGGGCATGGAGTGTCCTTTGTCTAGTTATGAAAAAGCAAGACCCTCTTGTTTGGTTTTATGTCTGGCCTGCTGCACAGTCTTCTGGATTATTCCTGTTCTGCCAACTGTATTCTACATAGCTGCCAACTCTTTTTTCCTTCACCAAACTTTCAGATGTGTGTATTTTTCTATGACTGGATTTAATAGTTCTCTCTATCTGGTGATATCACAAATCCTGTATACATCTTTTCTCCTTGTGCAAATCTTCAAATTTCTTCATGTGAACATTCAGCCTATCAAAGTATGAGCCAACTGAGTTGTGAACTTTTATGCAAAAAACTAAATCTAACAGGTATTATAAGGATGGCTCTCTCTCTCAATAAACAGTTTTACCTTGTAAGAATGAGTTCTCTTTTGTCCTTTTACCATCTAATCAGGCGTTTTTAGTCAAATTATCAAAATTAAATATCTTTCACTCCAATATCAAGCTACAATATAGATCAGTAGTTCACAACCTTTCTCATGTCACAGACCACTAAAACCCCAAACCATGATTAACCATGGATCTTCAGAGAGTTCTGCAGACCATCGATTGAGAAATGTGGATGTAGATCATGTGACCTCACACTGATGTCTAAGCTATAAATCTTTGCATCCAATAGCATAGCTTCCAAGTTCCTCTGATGTAGTACATTATTTAGAATTTTAAAATATGGATTTTATTACAAAATTATTTTTGTCTCACAAAAGTAAAATTTCTTTACAAGTTTGTTTGTTTCAAAGCATATGTATTTATATTACAGGAAAATTGACTTTTGCAATAAAATGAGTATTGCTATAGCTTACTGTTCTAATGTTTGTGCTTACAAACATAAGCTGAAAATATAAAACTGTTAACTAGATTGATTGAGAACTAAAATAAATAAAAACCTTACTATTTCAGACTATTCAATCACTTGAAATTGTTCTTAATACTATATGAACTGGATATAAATCTTTGCAAAATTTAAAGATGTAAATTTTGCAATTAGAGATTATATTCTTAAAAGTACTTTTTATTTAATTTTATTATGCAAAATTCTCTTAATTAGCAAACAATTATTTTTCTATTAGAAAAAGGGAATTTATATTATTTATTATATATAATAATAATTTATATTTTGAATAATTTATGAGAATAATTTATATTTTGTATTTATTTATTGGTTTATTACTGTTTATTTGCTGGGATTTGATATTCATTAAAAGGCAACATGTATATAATAACTTTAGAAATGAAAAAGTGTACCTTAATTTAATTCTATAACTTTTCATATTTAAAAGATTGTGTAAGTGATTGCAATACTCAAAAAATATTTCCAGAAAATTCTCAGATAATCTACAAGATTATTATATAAATAAAGTATGAATTCTATTTGTGTTCATTCATTGTGAATTCACCTTATAAGTAGATAGAGTACTACAATAAAATTACTTAAAAAATTTGGCACTACTTGAATGGTTCTCATTGTGTCTCAAATTCCATTTGCTTTTTGAGAGAGATGGGAATCCATCTGACTTAAGTTTTCATACAGCTTGTGGAATATCTACCTTATTTCTGTCTAAGATGCACCAAAAAACTTCAAAAAATTTTGTTTATAAAAATGAAAATCACAAACTCAAGATGATGTTAACAATTGCTGATCCTTCTTTGAAATCAGCTATGCTATACTTGCCTTTCAAGGAATTTTAAAATAATTATAAGTAGTACCACTTGACTAATTCATATAGCCTGACTTGCATCTTGTCACAAAATATTTATTTATTCTTTATTACAGTAAAGTCCATATGAATTAATAATTACTACCCTGACTAAACAAATTCCCAGTTAAAATACAAACAAATAATAAAAAGAACAAGAAAATAAAAGCCTAAAAATACAAAAAGTACAAAAATATCTTTTCAGCTCAATAAATTATATTAATTTGATATTCTGTTATTGTTTCCATTATTCATTTTATATTTATCAAAAAAAAATAAACTATTCTTATGCAATCAATATCACTTATGATAGAAATAAAGACCCTTTTTTTAATCATGTAAATATACTTTTTTTTTTTATATTGTGATTATTTTATATGAACATATTTGTATAATGCTATGCTTGATATTATATGCTATTTTTTTTTTTTGCAAAATAGTCACACACAATTTCATTACAATAAAAACATTTTGTTATTTTAATCTGAATACATGGAATTAAATGTAAGCATTACCTAAAATAATAGGTTTTGAGTTTTTGATTGCTCACTAGCATAGATATTTACAATTAAATAATCCCCAATCAAATATACTGTATTTAACACAATAGCACAGGAAGAGTTAAACTGAATAAATTAAACAAATATTATTTTCAAATATATATCAAATACAAAATATTTATTTTAAGTAAAACTGACTTAATTATTTTATTGTATTATGAATTATTTAATTTTCAATTATCATCATTTAATAAAAATAATTAAGAAAATTCTAAATACCTGTACAATACTGTAAAATATGAGCACCTTCAACTTTAGTTGTAAGACCAGGAGGACATGGAATGCATTCTTTTTGTTGAGATTTATTTTGATAAGTTCCAAGTGGACAAGGATCACAAGGAAGAAATCCAACATCAGAATATGTTCCTGGTGGGCATGTTCCTGTAAAATTAAATATGCTTAACAAACTATTTTGATTTGCAACTAGTTTTCTTTAAACTTATAAATTTTAAGAAAAAGCAATTATTTTTATTAAAAAAGGTTATCAATTCATGTCTAATGTTAAATTTTGAATTATGTATTGATTTATAGTATAAATGCTAAATAGTTAAATATTACTAAATATGAAAGGTTATATCTAATTCTAATGAAATCAAGTTAACAAAAGCATTTGAAATAATATACAATATATAGATAAAACAAATTTACCCTAAAACCTTGGCTATGAGTTACCCTCATGTATAAGTAGCAAAAACAAAAGTTGTAAAAGTTGTAAAGGAATGTTGACTCTTTTGGGGATGAACTGCTCTCATATATAAGCCACAACCTATACCCAAGGTATTAGGTATAACTTCAGAATAAAAACCAATAGTATCAGAAATAACATTATTTATATAAATCTTACTGTGCTAAGTACTAGAATTAATTGTATGCTATTTTGTTTGTCATTTTTTACAATTGTTTTAAAATTATTATTACTGGTATATTTTACTGCATTTTTCTTTTATTACTATGGTTACAGTTTTTACCAATAACAGGTTTTTCACATACTAGTTGTCATTGTGCATAGACCACACACAATGAATTTTATCAATATATCCTTGTCTAGGCCACAGCCTACATTTATAATTTTAGGGTAATTTCTATTGTGGCATGTTGAAGTATGCCATTTTGTTGTTTTCCCCCCTCTACCCATCATCTTTTATTTTTCTTCCTTTCCTTTGTTTCAGGGTTGGTTGGCTGGATTGGTTGGTTTCTAATGGTTATTAATCTGTTCAGCTATATATGACAAAAGCCAGGAACTATGTCAATGGGGTATGAGATGCTTTAATTGAAGAATGAAAAACACAGGAAGAGATGACACAATCTTTTGACTTTGTGTGAGGAAGAAGAGAGTTGAGTAAAGAGGAACAGCATATTTGTTTTTTCTTTGTGTTTTGAGTAGAGAGGAATGGAGTGATGACTTTTTATGGTTTGTATTTGATTCTTGATGAATTTCTAAGAAAATGAATATTGAAGAAAAGACTCTTTTGTTGACTACACAAAAGCTGACAAGAAAGTAGACATTTGTTGAGAAGTAACAGAGAACAGAAATCTCACATCTGAGTGATTTAGACAAAGGGAAACTTTGTTTAAACTTTCAGAAATTTATAGATGATGATGAAAATAGTTTTGTTGTGTATCTATGCACATCTGTGTAATCATGTTCAGATCTAAACTTGTAAATAGCTTCAATAATTTTGAGGTCACTTTCTTCAGTTTGTGTTTAGTTCTGAGATTGGTTTCATGTACTTTTTATTTTAAATATTTTATATAAATTTACCTCACTAATGTTTCATCATCTCAGTTGGGCTGATTTTAAGTGGAAGGAATACTGTGTGTTTAAAATATCTAATCAATAAATTACAACATTAATGTTATAATTTTTACCATAAATTTTTAAATCTAAAAATTTAATTTTTATTACATAAATTTTTTACTTCTAATTACTCACTAGTACAGTCTGATAATAATGTTGCTCCAACTGTCCATGTTGTTAAACCAGTAGTACAGTTTTTACAAGTTTTCTGTCCAGGTAAATTCTGGAAAGTGCCAATTGGACAAGCTTTACATGTTTCTAGTCCTGTTTCTGAATATGTTCCCAGAGAACAAAATCCTTCCAAAGAAATTAAATAATAATAATAAATTGTAATTTAAATAAATAAAAATAAATTAAAATAACAGATTAAGAGTAAAATAGCATTATTTAAATTTTTCTGATAATCAAATATTTACTAGATTTATTACTGAGTTATATTTTTGTTATGAACTAAAATCAAAACCTTTTAAATTCCAGAAATATATTTAAATATTAACAAATTGCTAACATTTTCATTATTTTGAATGACCATAATCAGACACATTCTAAATCCAACAAAATCAAGCAATGTTTTGGAATTCCATTCAAAATATTTTAACCTGTTGTGCTATTGGATAAAAATATATCAATACAGCTGACAATTAAACCCATAAATAATTTATAATGTAAATTTCTGTTATAAATGTCAACATATATTAAAAATGATAATGAGTTCTATCAATGGAGGCAAATTTAATGTCTTTAAACTACTCAGGAATGACAAAGATCCAATAAATTTGCAAAGTGTTCTTGGAGTATACCACATCCTGATCACTGACCAATTTACACTAGATATGTGGATTACACTCTTATCATTCAAAAAAGTAAACTATCATCCAAACATTCATACTATCAACTACCTTATGATCTCACTTTGAATTTGAAATAGGAACACCAAACAGAGATACATTTCCTGGACATCAAAATAAGGTGCAAGGAAATGGGCTTATCCACCATGGTATATAGAAAACCAACCTTCCTCTCAATGTTCATACCAGCACACTCACATAATACTTTCATATTTAAATTAGCAAGCTTTAAATCCTTAATAAAAGGAGCACATACCCACTCATCCTTTTTTGAATGCGAAAGCAAGAAGAAGGAACTTAAGTACATTAAAAACCTAGCAGTGCAACATGATTACAGTGCTAAAGTCATTGAAGGGCTCATTAAAGAGTACTAAACACACTGAGGAAAAAAAGAGGTAGCGTGCCAATACAAAAGTGTATCATACAACAAACTGCTAGCCTATAACTACAGTAAGATTGCAGAACAAGAACAATTTTATTGGAATAAATGAGAAGTCTGATGATCTAAACCTTACTGAAAAATAATGAGGACATCTACAACAGAAATAAAGTACAGGTGTATACTTTATACATATAATGGATGATAAAATATGAAAGAGACTACAATGTGTTGGGACTGCTACTACACCGCTGTATCTGCATCTCTAAGAATACCTAACTTTGGTATAAAAAGAAAAAACAAACTTATGGAAATGTGTGAAGCTCTGCTGTCTTATCCATCCTAGCTTTGCAGATAGACAGCCACACACACCTGGACTAGGCAAGACTTACATATATATATCATAAAAAAATATCAAAATTTATAATGTAATAAGGGACTCCATCATTAACTATAAAAACAGCAACTCCTTGATCCATGCTTGGAGGACATTATGCAAGATTGGAAAAACTACATTGCATGGCCAGACATGTGACTAATGTAATGGATCAATCAAAACATCCAATGTTTAAAGACTCCATAGCACATGACAGTCTAATATTTGAAATTAAAAATATTCCAATACAAATGTTATTCTACATTCAAAAGACTGAATAACCTGAAAATGATGGCTTTAGTATCACAGAAAATGTTTTTTTTTTCTTTATTTTTAATTAATTCATTTTATGCTGGAGTTTGGGTGTATTGTATAAGTTTAATTAATAGGTTAGTCAGTATCTTCTGAGTTTGACTAGATTGGCTTAAGGAGTTAAATTTTGTTTAACTTTAGAAATAGAAAAATATGTTATGTTATATAGAATGGACTAATAATAATCCAGTATTAGTCCACTAAGACTAATAATAATCCAGTTTGAGTTAAGGAGTAACTTGAGGAAGACAATTTGAGATTAGAGGTTTTATCATAGTTTGAAATATACAACAAATTGCTGGAAAATTAAAGGTAATTATTTGTAGTACATTCCTTTGTTCAAGTTAAGTTATGACATTATTAATAATGTAGAAGTGTGTGAAGCTCTGGAAATGTCCCAGAACCACACTAAATTCATTAATATTTTAAAATATAATTTTTCTTTTTATAAAAGGAAAAATTAATAATAATAATAACAATAATGAAAAATAAAAATTTTTTCTCAGAAACAAGACAGGAAAACTAGACATTGTAAGTCCTAAGATCAACTATCTTTGGTTGGGATTGAATTTAATTTGATTTTGACTCATTCCACAATTACACTTATTAATGAAAGAACTACCACTTAAAAAGTGAGGATGAGGAAAGGCAATCAATTGGAATGGACAGAGACAGAAAATAATAAAAACTCTAAATTTCAAGGACAATAGAGTTTCTTCCTCTGATTTCTCACGAGTGTCAGACCTTACTTGATTGCATTCTCCACTTCACCTTCTGTTTCTGGACTGACATCACTTCTTCTATGGACTTTTAACATCACCCTAAGGCAGACAAAACAGAAGAATCCTTCTCTCAGAACTCTTTTACAAGAAGATTCGCAGTCTTGCTCTACACCCAGAACATTATTTCTGTAAGCTTGTTTTTTTTTGTTTTGTTTAAATAAATTGGGATAATTTTTTTGTAACTGTTGAGTTTATCTCAGTGTCTATCACATCCACATATAAATCTGCACTTCTCTTCTATTCTAACTTGAAAGCATAATTCAGCAATCTCACAAGTATTTTATTTTATTTTAAAAGTTCCAATATATCATTTTAGCTGATTTAATAGAAAAGTATAACTACATAGTTTTATTCTTACCTTTACATTCTTCTATAGATTTTGCATTTTTATTTACTGTTGATGTTCCATTTGGACATTGCTTACAGGATATTTTGGCTTCTTTATCTTGAAAAGTCCCCACAGGACAAGACAGACATTCTTTTGATGTTTGGTCATAGAATGTTCCTTGCGGACAACTTACTAAAAATAATATATTAATATATTTGTAAATGAACTCATTTTGTATTCATATATTCATAAATAAATTCATTTTCAACTCTCATATAGATTCACTGATTCCTTTATACAAATCATTTTCAATGATTTACAAAATAAGCCAAACCTTACAAACCTATAATAAAATAGACTGCATTTTAAAGGTTTGTAAGGTTTAGTTATTTATTTGTAAGTGCAGTTAGAAAAGAGTACAAAATAAACCATGTAATATTCTGAAAAAACTTTATGATTTATCTCTTCTAATTTATCTCTATGAAATTTATTATTGTCTGATGGCTTCAGATTATATTTCATTGATGAATGTTTCTTTATATTTTAGGCTAGTGACAAATAAATAAATTTTTTTTTATTAATTCTTAAATTACAGTATTATTTATTCCTAGCTTACATATGTTACTCAATTGGAATGAAATACTCATTAAATGATATTTGTAAATTACCTTTTTTTTTAATTATTTGAAGAAGAAATAATAACAAGACAAATAGCATTGCCATTTTATTGCAATAAAAACAATTATATAATTAGAGTTGTCAGGTAAATGGGAATAAAATCTGGGACAAAATGATAAAAGATACTGAAATGCTTTAATTCCAGGACATGCAACAGATGTGTATTTTTATTCTGCCAGTGACAGAAATGTATTGAAAATGTGGAAAAATAAAAAAAAAAAATTGTAGGAACCGTTTTTAAAATAAAGTCAATAGGAATACTAAGTTTACAGTCCTCCTGTCATTAGATGGCAGTTTGAAAAAATCCAGGATAATCCTGGAAAACAGGAACATCTAGCAATCCTATATGTAATATACATTTCTGACAAAGAATTAAATTTGTTTTTACAAATAATAATACTAAATACTTAAGGAAATAATGATTAATGTCCATTGACAATGACTAATGGACATTAATCATCACTTTCTTAAGTGTTTGGTTTCAGCCTCAGCTTGCCTAAAAATATAGGCATTCCCTCTCAACTATGGGACTTACAATTAAGAAGAAAAATGGTAGTTAGTAAAACTGCAGTTGCCAAAACAAAGACTAATTGACAATGAAAAGTTGGAAGAAAAAAAATCTACTAAAGCAAATTTTTAAGATTATTAGTAAATTATTTTTAGCTGTAGAGTTTTTGACACACTTTGCAGCTGTGTAAATTGAATTTTATTTTTTAAAATTTTATTTTCATACTTAAGATACACAATTATACCCACAATGAATACTGAAATATGTTGAAATTATACAAAATAAAAATATTTTGCAAGAATTTTTTTGCATTTATAACATATTTTGTATCAATATAAGTATACTTTTAACATATAATTTTTTGAATATTAAAATTATTAGTAAACTAAATATAAAAATTTGTTAATGAAAAATATATTATGATGATGATAATTTTTATTTAATTTAAAGTAACCTGAATATGTTTATTTCAAAAGGAACACATTGTATATTTTTTCATATTTTGATTCTTATTTACATTCCAAATACACTGAGATACTCAAAAATCAGATTCACAAATATTCAAAAAAAGGTATAGCAGCATGGTAAGACATTATTTTGAATTTTTTTCACTGCTATAGACACTTTGAAAGAACTTTAATTGAACAATTGATTAAAAATGATTTAAATGAATTATAATTATTTGATAGATAAGTGTTCTTCAAACAAAACAGTATCTTACTGCATAACATTTATGCCTTACAACAATTTTATATGATATAATCACTGGATTGGAACTAATGGTCCAATTAGTTAACTAGTAAGGGCATCTGATCTTTTATTTAGATTTTCAATTTTACTCCTAAAAATTACTATTTATGCTAAACCCTCTTCAATATTAGCAAATCTTCAGGAGTAAATTAGACTAGCAATACCAAAAATCACTGCAAATGTTAGATAATGTTGGCATATATAAAATTGCCTAACCCTTTAATCACTGAAACTGAGTATATGTTAATAAACACTGTACCTATAACTAATATCAAGCAAGAAGAAACTACAAGAAAACAAACGTTTTCATCTGTGTTTAATAGACATTGCCACCTTTCTTGTAGTTTCTTTTCACTGGATATTGGTTATATGTGCAGTGTTTACTGCCTATCCCTATCAACAGACAAACTTTTTGTGTGTCCCATTATCCTAATGGTCATATGATCAGTAATTATCTAGCTATTGATTATCGTATTAGTATTAATGATAACAATTACATTTAACGTTTATTTTACTTATTTTGATCCATTTGTTTTGTATGAAAAAATTTGTAAATACAATATATTGCATTGTATTCTTTGATTACTTTTCAGCCCATTCTGTTGTCCTCTTATTTTTATTTAATCATCTTTTCTTTCTCTTGGCAGACAAATAAAGCTGTGTACATGCTGCCATGATTAAATGGTCTTTGTTTATTAATAACCAATAACTATGATTGAAGAATTCATCTTAAGAATTATGCTCTGCAGAAATATAAATGGGATAAATAAATTTGGATCATCGTCTTTAACATATTTTCATACCTTTATTTACTTAAAAACTAATAAATAAAAGAAATTATGCTTCATTGTTTATCAATTTGATTAAAAAAATAGAATTTTATTAATAACTGGTTGCTGTTTCTTTTCTGAAAAATATTTCATTAATAACTATGCTCTCAAATAACTACTTGTATTTGAAAAAAGTAGTTATTAGTGAATTAGATGAATTACAATTATTTGTAATGAATTAGATGAATTATGAATTGAATGAATTAGATGATTATTATTATTATCCAGTTTATGAGTTGATCACATAAACTAGATAATAATAATATTAAAGAATGAAAAATAAAAACAAAAAACTCTAGCAAAGAAATGAAAAATATTTAATAATAAAGAAAGGTTTTCAATAATTTTGGATAATATTAAATATGTTCAAAAAAGAATGCAGATGAATTGAATGTTGTAATTTACAGGAAGAGTCATCATCTGATTGGTTGTTGATGTTACATTTAGTATTTATTTCTGGACTTCAAAAAGAGATTTCCATGCTAGAGTTTCTATCTTTGAAATTTATGGCCTTATTTTTCTTATATGCCCTATATATCTCTAGCTTTTCCAGGTGTATGAGAGACAATTGTGTTCTAGGTACATGTGGTAGTCAGGCTCCATCTATGTGTACTTGGATTTGGTGTTCCATGGCCATGCTGACTAACATAGTCATATAATGCTACTTTTTAATTAAGGTTATATTTTTTTAAACATTGTTTGAGCAGGCATGTTGTGGTGCTAATGTATTCCATTTGTTACTCAAGGGTGGTGTGGATGACTGGGATGAAGTAAACAACTGGGAGAAAAATTCCAAATACATTATCAAGTACTTTCATCAGCAGGGAGTATATGGGAGGATTCTTTCTGAAGGCTACATCAATGTTTTTGGTCTTCACAATTTTCAGGTAAATTGGTTTCAACTGCTGGTTGTAGCAAAGAGCACTACTATTAATCACAAAAGCTTTTTGCACAACATCCAATTCTAGCCTGTGGATCTGAGAAAGACCTCCAGCAGATAGAGTCATTAATCTATACAAAAAAAATTTAGCACATTAAATGGGATGGAGACATTCAGCTGCAATCAGGTGTTATTTGCTCCACAGACCTAGAAAAGCAAATCCTTCTGAAATTCTATCAGCCCCTACATCATCAATCATCAATTCTACAAGGGCTATCCTGAAAATTCCACTATCATGGTCTTCATGGAGAGTTCAGGATGCAATAATCAGATTGGAAGCAGTTTTGTTGTTTTTGAAGGCAATGAAGAAATTCACCATGAATAGTTCTGCCTGGGGTCTTTTTACCCAGTCTTCCAAGTAAAGCTTCTTGCAATTCTTTAAGTGATTGGTTGGTGTGAATCAGCATTTGACAACAAGGATATCATATTTGCCTCTGATTGTGCCTCTGCCCTCTCATTAATAAAATGAAAATAACAACTTGCATTCTGATTTTTTTCCAGATATAAAACAGTTACTCTCCAATGAATAGATCAAGATCAATCACCACACTGTGCAATTTTCACCAACCATGGAAAATTCAATGTGTATTTTAAGAGGTTCTCCCTGGAGACAACTTGTGCCCAGCTTGTGGCATATCAGAAGGCAGCACCCATTATATTTACCAACGTTCAATCACAGAGTTGGAAAGGCAACAACTTAAAACATTGATCATCAGGAATGGTTATGTATGGCTATGTGACCTCACTGAAAACAAAGAAACTTTTTAACTTTTCTTTCAACTGGTGTAAAAATATTTTCATGCAATACTGATTCTAATGGTGATCCTTTGCATGGATTGTCTACATCTCAGCATGTTAACCATCATGAAATTGTTTATATCTCTTTTCTGATTTTTCACATACTGTTTGCGATTCTTAATTTTCACATATGTACTTGAAAATTATTTGTTTTTTTTTTCAAAATCTATCAATTTCTGTGATCTAAAATGACTACAATCTTGACCTGAAATTGCAAGTTTCTGAAATAAAACAGAAATAAAATTTACAACTTTGCAGAGATACTTTATAATACCTAAAATAACCATGCAAAGGCTGATCCAAATCCATGAAATACATTTCTGAGTCTCCCCTTGAGTTAAAGAATATGGCACTTAAAGCAATAAACTTACAGTCTGAGCCATAACTAAGTGTTTATTGTTGTTATCTCTGTAGTTCATTAATTTATAAACAAAATGTATGAAAAAGTAAAATGTTCATTGGTTGTTTACAGCATCTGTCATCAAAAACAATGAGTGTTGACTTGGAATCAATGATATGACTCATCTGATGTCACATCAAAGCATATGACTTAATATCCCACTTTTTACATTTTGTGATCTGGTTACTTTAGATATATGTGTTCAAAGTTTAATTTAAAGAAGAATCAAAACATGTAAAAATATACAGAATGTTCCATTTTAAATGAAAAAGTTGATATTAATTAAGTTATATAATATATTCAGAATGCATTTATTTTTAAAATATACATATATTATTATGAATTTATTAAAAAAAACCACACTCATAAAATGTCAAAACTGATGATGATAAAAACTTTTATTATCAGTTTTGATATTTACTAATCGAAAATCTTCATGTGTAATTTATCTATATATGAAGTATCATTTTTCTTTGTAATTGGTTACGAAAGAAAATTGTTTTTATGATGCACATGAAATTTCTAATACTCAGTATATTCTTTTCAGTAATTTCATGATAAAATATATAAATTCTAAAATACAGTCTGAATACATTTTAAAATGTACATTTTATTAATTTAATAAAATACATTTATCCAATAAATAAAAAACTATGTAATTTAAATTTACTTGCCTTAATGTCCTTAACTATTATTTTATTCCAAAATTGTCAACATGGACTTATTGGATTAATAGGACTATTACACTAGTATATTGGCTATTAACAAGGAAAGAAAGTAGTCCAAGTTGACAGTTTTAGAATAAAATATATTTGTAATCTTTTTACTTTGTATAATTATGATACTCATTTAAATAAAGTTATCTCATATATTAATTGCTGTATAAAAATATAATTGTAAAATTTATATGAAGACATTAAACACAGCTTACATACTTTTACAGCAACTAAATTTAATCAAAATAAACATTTTCAACTGATTGATAAGCCTTTGTTAAGTTACATAATAAAATTTAAATAAAAATTTTATAAGGCATGTCCGAAAAATAAAGATATATCACACATAAGCAGAAAATTAATGTTTTGATGCATATGTTGACAACAGTTGATTTGACCTTGAGCCTCTTGCACTCTTTTTGCAGTCATTTATCATTGCTATGCTAAGTCTAGTTTGAGTAGTATGTTTACAATGGCTGCACAATTCAGAATCCTGCCAAATGTGAAGTGTGCTCTGTCATGCATTTTCTCAATGTAAAAGATGAGTGCCCAGCAGATATTTTTGTTTATGGGAACTTTATGAATCAACAAAATGTAAGAAAGTGGTGCTGTGTATTCTCTGGAGGCAGGACTGATGTTTGTGATGAACACAAGAGTGGAAGACTAGCTCTGACCTCTTCAAATAACTGAGGAAGTAATTCATGCAAATCAGTGTCTCACAATAAGAGAATTGCATGAAATCTGTACCCAGACTTAACAAGTGTTTGGGCAATAGCAGCAATTATATAGAAAAATAACACGTGTTCTAGTAAATAAGGTGTAGTGGATGTTTGGTCAAATAAAAATGTTTTGAATGAATACTGGCTGTTGTATTTTTATTTTTTGGACAAACCAAATATTTTTGGAATAAAATGTTCTTTGATATATATTACATCTTTTTAAACATTTTATTCCAAAAATAGAATCTCTATTTAAATTTCATTCTGTACATTTGTTTTGATTAAGTTCAGTTTCTGGAAAAGTATGTAAGTTGTGTTTAGTGTCTTCATATACTGTGAAGTACCAGCTTAGACTATTATTGATATAGAATTTAATATGCAATTACCACAACTCATATTTCGGATAATTTGTCCAATTTCACAATTTGGAATACTTATAAATTCAGTGGCATTTTCAACTGGAGATATGTATGGAATATAATTAGATAACATTCCGAGATTTGTTACTTGAAAATCTTGCAAATTTGTTTTAATTTCTTCATCTGTAAGTTCATCAGATGTTTCTTCACATTTCTAAATAAAAATTATTATAATGAAATTAATATTTTATTATGTATTAATTATATTAAATTAATATTAAATACTGTAAAATAATGTAATCTATACAATAGTAACTATTGAATACAACTTACAATTGGACAATTATTTATAAAATCTATATTATTTTTTTATTTTCTATCTTAAATCTAGGAAAAAATTTTAGAAACAAATATACTTATATATACATATAAGCTTCTCTCATTAATCTTTAACTTTTAAAAAGTCACATAAAAATTAATTGCACAAATTTGATGATACAATACTACTTCAGTATTCATTGAAAGTATTTTGATGTCAGACTAAAGCCATAATTATCCTAAAGATGAAAGTGCTTTAAATAAAAGGCTTTAATACAATAGTATTGTATTGTATTATAAGCAACTCAGCACTTTCTGTACTCTTTACAGCAAAAAACTTTTAAATAGAAAAACCATTTTTGGCTCTTTAAGAGGCATGAGTTAGGTTTTTAAACTATTCTAAACTCAAATATTCTACAGAGTATTCTAAACTAGAATGTTCAAACAACATAACATTATTTAAAAATTTAGACATGGTATTCCAAAATGTTCAAATGCAACATGACACCAATTAAAATATTCTACCATTACAACATTAAATATAGAATGAAATAAAATATAAATAACTGTAGAAACCAAATATTAGTACAAAAAGCTAAGCCACACAACTATCCATTGGTGTTATGAAAGAATATTTATTTTAAAAGTACGTAGGCAGTTTTTTTTTAATCTCCGATGGACTATGAAACAAAAACAATGTAAATAACAAAATAAATTTATTACCAAAAGTTAGGTACAAACATGATTACTTTTCAACATAATCACCATGAAAATTGACGCATTTGTCATATCTGTGGACAAGCTTTGCAATCCCCTCTTAATAAAATGCTGCCAGAAGTGACTTGAGATGGACCTTAACATTGTTTTAAAGATTGTCATTAGTCTCAAATCTCTGCCCTCCTAGGCACATTTTCAGTTCAGGAAAGAGGTGGAAATCTTCACACATTCAATTTGTGAAGACTTCCATCCAGCTTGGAACTTTTTAAACATCCAGCGTATAGCCCCAATTTAGTGCCAAGTGACTTTCACCTCTAGTTTCACTATTTTTATAATTAATGCAATTGCACTTAATTTTTGCATTTAAGATCTCAACAACTTCCAATGTTCTTAGCTTTTGCTCATTGAATATCTTCTTTATTTGGTCCCAACATGGAAACACCTCAGGCTCACTAGTAAACTGGGCTAGTGCACTACTATATTTTTTTTTTTTTACCGTATTGCACTATTCACTAGTTTTCCGTGTACTAGTGAATAGTGCAATAAAGTAAAAAATAGATTATCTGACTCCATTGGTTCTTTTTAGAATATATTTTTATTGAGTACTATATTTGTTTTTGCTGATGTTGTATTAGTGTTCTTTTATTCTTAATTGTATACATTTATGCATACAATTATCATTACAACTGACTGTGGAAGGGCATTATTATTTCCATTATTATTTTTTTCAAATAGGTTTGACTCCTTATCAATATGAATAAATGATCACAGAAAAGAGAGTGATGAGAGTACAAGTACTATCCCTCAGGGTCTCACTAGTACTAAAATTTTCAATTCAAAACCAAAACTGAAGAATCAAAAATGTCTAATGATAAGAGAGTCATCAATTCTGCACTTAAGCATTATCATTTAAAAAGTAGGCATTATGTTAAATGTCAAATATATAAAAATTTCCTGAAATTGTAAGACACTACTCAAAAAAGTCATAAATTCAACTGCCAAAGACTGCACCATATTTTGAAATGTGCTGGAAACAAACCATTTAAAACATCATCATATTAAATGCAAAAACATATTTAAATTATTGATATTGATTGTCATAAAAAAGTAAAAAAATCAATTTCAATAATAAAAGGAAAATATTGTGGATTAAACAATGACCTAGGAAACAAAGTAGATGATCTGATGATATATGCATATGATAATGCAAAAAGTTACACTTTCTGAATTTTCATTCCTTGCCAGAGTGATAATATTATAAGCTGCAACTTCTTTTTTGTATAATGAAAATCAAACATCTTGCATTCTTGACAATATTAACTGTCAATATTTGATACTGGCCTCTCACAAGAAATATTTGTAATGTATTGTGCAAATCAATGAAGATTCATTGGCAAAAATTTAAACTGAAGCTATTCCATCACTTTCATTGAGGTGTGATGTATGTGCAGCTTATACACAATTAGATAAAATCTACATCCTCACAAAAGCAATCAAGAAAATGGGGAAAAGTGGAGCAATATTTCCTTAGCACAAGTGAACTAAATTATTGAGGAACTACAGAACTGTTGTATTCTGTACAAAATGCTTGTAGTTCTATGGTTGGCAATCACACAACAATAACAAATCTTTAAATTTGCAACTTTCCTTGTAATAGATGGAATGCCAATAAATACAGGGAAAAAAATCAAGTTTATGGGAGTTATATAAAAAAATATATAAGTAACAACTCACCTTATAAAATTATTATTACTTTCATTAAAAAATGCTGTGCTGTTCATTGAATCTGGCTTTAAAATTAGTCTGTAACTGTGTCAATAAAATGAGACATATATTTCAAGAACTTTCCAGTCTTTTGTCTTTTTTTCCATATGTCTGGATTACATATTAGAGAATTAAGTCAAATAGCAAAAGTAAGTAACTGTGCTCTTGTTACTATTGCCTATTTACTTGTAATTCACTGGTCAGAATTTTCATTTTTTTTTTTTTTAAGTAAGTAATCTTTATTGGAGTAGAAGGCTTTCGCCTGTTACAAGGGCGTTTTAATTTTGAATTAACACATATTAACATCTCATATAATAATTTTTTTTTAACAATATTAATATTTTCTATTTATCAGTCTATACAATTATATTAATAATTTGACATAATTATTATTTAATTAGTTGTTTAACATAATTATACAACTTATAAATTGTGTTAACATCAGCTCTATCTAATGTCTTGTACATTTCTAGCTCACTAGTACATTTAGCTAGCGTCCCAATCTGGAGCCTTTGTAGTTTATCCTTTTCGTCGCAATTTTCACATAAAATATGAATTTTAGATAAATTTTTGGTGCAATTTGGACATTTAGATTGGGTGTAATCTATATATTTGTCATTTATAATTATTCCGTATTTATTTAACCTAATCTGTATAAAAAACTTTTTAACGTTAAAAGCTATATTTGTCAATATATAGTTGTTATTTACAGGATAATTTAAAATTGTTGCATACCAGCTTGTATTTTCTCGTTTTCGTATATCTTCCACGTCTTGGATAATAGAGTATTCCATAACTCTATGTATTATTTCTTTACTATATTGCTCTATATCATAATTACGATCCATAACCAGTTTAATAGAAAATCCATATTTATTAACTATCTTCGATAACTGAATTATCCAACTTCGTCTTAAGTCTGTTTCCCTTGATTTGTGATGTAGTAAGAACAGCAATTTTGTTGTTATATCTTCAGCCTTAATAATTTTTTGTAAAAACTTTAAATATCTTTTTATTAGTATAGTATTTATTCTGAATCTATGTGTTTCTAATCTTAAGGCACTACCCGGGATATTGTATTCCAGCTGGAATATCTTACGTATGAATATATTCTGTATTTTCTCAAAGTCATTAAATTTTTCCATGCTCCAAATTGGGGCAGCATATCCCATTGAGTTCATCACAATCGAATTAAATAACTGAAAATGTATACGTATGTTCTTTATTTTTGTCTTGCAGAATAGACCAATTAAATTATTTATTGCAATTTTTGCTTTACTTAGTGAATTTTTATAATGTTTTTCGAACGAGAGATTAGGTGTGAATGTAACTCCTAAAAATTTAATTTCCTTCACTATCTTCACTTCTTCTTTATTAATGAAGAAAGACATGTGCTTTTTGGATACGTTACTTCCATTTCTAAATATCATAATTGTTGATTTTTTGGAATTTATTTTAACTCTTAGCTTTTCTAAATACT